GTGAGATAGATTTTTTTGAGAATAATTGTCTAGCACAAACCAACTTTCCTAGCAGGAGATGTAGCATTTGATTCAATATAATCTTTTCCACGTCAGTCAGTGGACAACATTCAACTGAGAAGCCACAATGAGTCACTCCTGTGGAGGTTAGCATCAGCCATGCTGGTGAAAAACAAAAATGGTTTTCTAAGATAACCTTTTTTCTTTTATCATAACAATTCAGTTATTGAATTCTTGGTCTTCCTCACTAGACGATTTATTTTTCAAATAACTTTAAACTTGGATGCTTCTGCTGTAGCAAAAGGGTATAGCACAACAGGCTATATGATGGTTCCATGTAGGATGCAGGTTAGATTCCGGTTGGAGGACTCATATTTTCTATGAAATTTATTAGACATTTAGGCTGGTAAATGTTCTTAATACTGTTTATTATAAAACAGAGCATTTACTTAAATATTTTTATCTATAAAAAGAATGTATAAACAGAAAATATATAAAAGTACTGTATAATATAGCTTCATTCATTCTCTGTATCTCTGTGTTATGTCCTTTCCTGATTTGGGTGATTATGTTTCTCCACAGCTTCCCATCTTTTGTAGCTCTTAACAAACTTTGCTTTATTACTGTCCTTTCAACTTCCTGTTCTGCCATCCATTTTCTCCAGCTCATTAGGTAGGTCACCATTTCCCTTTGTCCTTCTTGCCTTCAGTATGTCCTGTAAGTGTCGGATTTTCTAAGCCTTCTTTCATCATAAAGTTCTAGAAATTTCAACTGTCTTTTTCTGATTTTAAGTAAGTATCCGTTTTTTGTTTCCTTTTGCCTTGAAATTTCCTTGTTGCTCATATGTTTTGTTCATGGTATTCACAACATTTTTTTCTATAGAACCACATCTTTGTTGTCTCAAGTCACCTCATCATCTGTGAAGAAATTATCCAGCATCTGCTGCCATATAGGAAGGTTGATATTATATTTCAGTATTATTTTTTTGTTTCTTAGCAAATTTTCCTGCTTCTTATTTTTTTTTAATCAATTCATCCTAAGCAAGGCAATAATGCCACTAAGATGCAAGGGGTTACTGGAAATGAAAGAGAATGAGAAGATGTTAGAAGGAACCAGAAACCCATTCCTAAACTAGAAACAAGAATTTGGGTGAAGTGTGAGCTGGATGATAGGTGAAAATATCTACAATTTTCTGAACAAGAATAGAAGTTCATATATTATATATCTCAAAATCTCTAATCATAAACCTATTTTTAAATAAGCAATGATTCCCCAAGACCTAGTATTTATCATGGCAAACCTGTCAGGCTGGCAAGAAAAAGGCAATCAAATGAAACACTCTGGAGATATTAATAAAAACCCAGTTCAGAAAAATCGGTGTAAAGATGAAGTTAATTTTCTTGTCTAGAAGTAAACTAAGAGGAAATAAATCACTAACAAAACATTTTCTGTAGCTAAGGATTTGCTTCTTATCATCACCAGCAAATAACTTAGGAAAACCTTCTGCAATAAAAAATAAGTGGGGTGGACATCCATGTTAGATCAAAATCTGTCTAAATAACTAAGAAAACTGCTTTTTATCTGGTTATATTTTAAATATATTTTCTTAAAAATCCCTTTTTCTTAACCTCATGTTTAAATGCTTCATTTATCTTCATTTTTTTTCTTTTAATTTTGTTCTTTTACATAAACATATATTTTTAAAAAAAAAAAACAACTCATGCATTCAAAATGGTTGGTTAGTGCAAGAAATGTTTTTTTTTCCTTTATATTAATGCATATCAGAATTTGTATTTGGCAGCTGACAGAATGGAGTGGGGGAAAAGAAAAAATATATATATGAAGCAAAATAACTTACAAAGCTTACCCACAAAGCGACCACAAATTAATCACTGCCAAAACTAAGATTTAACTCCCACATAATAAATGATCTTAGAAACATGCTGCATCCCAAGGTTGGTGGTAGCTTTGATAAATGGGAGCAGTCAGCCCTGAGTTTAAAGTTATTTAAAAAATAAAAATGAAATAACTTTTTTTTTAAAAAAGTACTTAAAAAAAATAAATATGTATCTTAAATGTGTTCAAAGTCTATATAATTATTTAGTTTTTATAAGCAACCAACAGGTTTTTATTGCCAATAGTTCAAACTCAAGACATTGCTAAAGCTGATGTTCAAGGGAGATAAGTCAATCCCATTTGGAACATTTTAGAAATAAATACTCTTACAATTTAGACAACATTTGAACTTGTTAATGAGGTCTGTTTTGTTTTGTTTTTTGTTAATGTCATATTAAAAGTTTTCAGGTTATTTAATGCCAAATTCTCTCATTCTGAGGAACAAGTGATATGTAGACATTTGTGGCTTGCATGACAGAAAAGTAGACATTGCTGTAGATTACATTACAGTCAAAAAAGCAGACATCACTGTGGTTTGCAAGACAATCAAAAATATAGGCATTAATGTAGTTTGCATGAAAGTCAAACAGGCAGACATCAGTCTGGCTTGGATGACAGTCAAAAGGGCAGACATCAGTCTGGCTTGCATGGCAGTCAAAAGGGCAGACATCAGTCTGGCTTGTATAGCAGTCTAAAGGGCAGACATTAGTCTGGCTTGCATGGTAGTCAAAAGGGCTGACATCAGTCTGGCATGGATGGCAGTCAAAAGGGCAGATATCAGTCTGGCTTGGATGGCAGTCAAAAGGGCAGATATCAGTCTGGCTTGGATGACAGTGAAAAGGCAGACATCAGTCTGGCTTGCATGGCAGTCAAAAGGGCAGACATCAGTCTGGCTTGCATGGCAGTCAAAAGGGCAGACATCAGTCTGGCTTGCATGGCAGTCAAAAGGGCAGACATCAGTCTGGCTTGCATGGCAGTCAAAAGGGCAGACATCAGTCTGGCACGCAGCAATCAAAAGGCGAACATCATGGCAGTCAAAAAGGGGCAGACAAGGGCACTGGCGATCATCAGACATCTGTCTGGCTTGCATAGCAGTCAAAGGCAGACATCAGTCAGTCGGATGGATGGCAGAGCAGACATCAGTCTGGCTTGGATGATAGTCAAAAAGGCAGACATCAGTCTGGCTTACAAGTTAAGCATAGATATATTTAACTGATTTATCGTTGACCCGGTCTTGGGAATATAGTATTTTTCATTGGTTCTAATTTTCAAAGCAAACTTGCTTTCTCTATTTAGAAAAATGTGGAAACACAATCTCCCTGGATAATTTTCTCCTATTTGGGCTCGTGCCAGACAAAGCTACAGAATGTAAATATCTTTATAAGTTCTCAAAAATAAAATATTGATTCATGCACTAAATGTTACAGTTAAAAATGGCACTTTCAAAGTTTATCTAAAATGGAAGAACATATGCTTATGACGAAAAAAGTCTGTTTGAAAAATTAAAACAAACCAATAAAAAACATGAGTAAATTTGTAAATATACTTGTATGGGTAGCTATTTTCAACTAACAAACAAGAAAATAAAGTAAAAAAAAAAGTTTTTCTAAGGATGATGCGATAAACATTGAAATCTGAAAAAACATTTTCTGATTACCTGTAAATATAATCATTTTCTCATCATTTTTATTCTTTTCTGTTTTATAATGATTTTTTAAACAAATAAATCACTATTCATTTCTTTGTCAAACCACATGTGGGCATCTATCTTAAAACTATTTTGCTAAGATTGTATTTGATCAGGTGTTTTTAATCTAAGAAAATTATCACACAATCTATCAGTGAGATATCAACAGACTGACATATACATACATACATATATATATGTGTATGTATATTGGCAGCAATTTTTCATTTTTGATTTCTAACTGAAGTAAATATTATATATATATATATATATATATATATATATATATATATATATATATATATACATATACATATATATACATATATATATATACATATATATATATATATATATATATTTATACATTTTACATATATATATATACATATATATATATATATATATACATATATATATATATATATATATACATATATGTATGTATATTATATATATATATATATATATACATATATATATATATATATACATATATATATATAAATAAAATATAGAAAGAACATATATATATATATATAAATACAAAATAATTACTCAATGTAAATATATATCTAATATATATACATATATATGTTATAAATAAAATAGTGCTAGCTAATAAATACAATCATACTGTCTTATAGATATTTTACCCCGTGTTTTTTGTAGAATATTCTGTATTAAATGATTTTTAGCTGTTAATTTAAAATCAGGTTAAATTTTAAATACATCCAAAATTTTACAAAAATGAAGCTAAGAACTTTGATTTAATTTATTTGTCATAAGGGAAAATCTGAAGGGTTTGTGGTTCAATTTTAGAAATATTTGGAACCATGGAAAATAACCATTTTAGCTGTGTATTTAAAATATATAAATATTTAAAAGTTACATATAAAATTAATATGAAGATGAATATACTAATACTTTTAATTTATTTACAAAAATAAAATTAGGGGTTTTTTATTATTTATAAACATGGTTGAACTGTATATTTAAAATAACTATTTTAAATCATTAATTTATAATATAATATATATATATATATATATATACATATATATATATATATATATATATATATATATATATATATATATATACATATATATATATATATATATATATATATATATATATATATATATATATATATATATATATATATATATATATATAAATATCATACTATCATACTGTGAAAGAACAGCCAAATGTCTCAGTTGAAAATGGCATTTTTATAGTTTATCTACAATGGCAGATGGATGGAGAGTGAGAGACAGTAACAGAGAGAAACAGAGATGGGTAGATAGAGAGACAGAGATAGATTTAGAGAAACAAAGATAGATATATAGAGACAGATTTAGGTAGGTAGACAGAGATAGAGACAGATAAATAGGTAGGTAGATATGGAGACAGATAGACAGATAGAGAGAGAAACAGAGATAGGTAGAGAGAGATAGATTGTTAGAGAGATAGACAGAGATAGATAGGTGATATAGATCAATAGAGATAGAGAGAGAGAAACAGTTAGATACGTAGATAGAGGGAGAGAAACAGAGATAGGTAGGTTGAGAGATAGACTCTTATTCAATTTTCTTTACATTTTCTACTTTAGTTAACAGAAATAATTGTAATAGTTAAATAAATACCATTGTTTAATTAACATAGAGCAGATAAAACTTAATAAAAATTCAAAATGTCCTGCCTTGTAACCAAAGTAATTTTCTATTTCTCATCTGTGTCACAAAAATTCACACTGATTTACATGCTGGCTTTCACTTCTTTTTCTATATAACACATCCCTTCTGGATATAGAATGTTGTGGAGAACCATGATCACCTATCTCTTATGGCTCTTAGCTGTTTTTCTCTCTTTAAGACCCCTGCATGCTTCCTCTATTCATTCACATAAGGTTATCAATTAAGTGATTCTCTTAATTCTCTTGCCATCTCTATGACCCATGTGCTTTAATCTTTCCAAGCCCTCTTTCCTTATTATAAATCCAAGGAGTTTCAGCTGCCTTTTCCTGATTCTCAGTATAAGGGTTCTTTCTGTTGCCATTTTCTTTAAAACTTGTTTACTTGCTTCATCCATGGAATTTTCAGTTTCCTTCTTTGGAACCACATTTTTTTCTGCTTCTAGTTTTTTTCCCCTAATCCTTGAGGAAATTATCCAACATTTACTACCATATAAGAGGATGGATTCCATATAGCAAGTCAGCAGTCTTTTCTTTGTTTCTCGCAAAATCTTACCATTTCTCAACACCTTGCTGAATTTTTGGAACACCTCTTTCACTCGTTCAATTTTGTCTGATCGATGAATTTTGGTCTATTATTCCTACTGAATGCTCCATAGCTTCAGCCTTATGTCAGCCTAAGATAACATTTCACCAAGTTTTCTTTAAATCTGGAGAAAGGTCACAAAAATCATGGTTAGTCTACTAAAAAAAAAAAAATCAATAAAACAGGTCATTATTTAAAAAAGAGGATAAAAATAAAAAGATTAAAAATTGACAAGGTTTTCCATTTCACTGAAGCAGATGTTAAACACATGTGAGCATTATCATCTCCTCTATCTTCACTTTCGTTCTTATCATATACACTTTCTATTCCTTACTGAAACCCAACAGTATCTTTGAGATGTTTTTCTTCCAACTTTTCTGGCAATCTAAATGGAGTGGTCTATTATTTATCTAAGGAAATAGCATAGTGGAACATACATATTCAATAACTTGTTAACAAGGAACAAATAAAATTTTAAGATGATATTTCATATGATAATAATAATAATTCAAGATAATATAACATGTTGTGCCCTATTTCATAATATCTTAAGCAGGGATACTGGGTACACTGCCATTCGCTTTCTGTTGATTAGATACAGTTTCAAATATCACTACAGTCAATTTGCCAGGACTTCTTGATGCTATCAGCATAGATTGGTCATTTTAGTATATGGCCCCTTTGGAAATTCAGGTCTTTCTTAAATCCTAAAAGACAAATTTCTTTCAGGAAAGATTTGTTCTGCAGGTTCCATTTTAACTATTATTAACCATTCAGCCAATTCAAACCTTACTATCTGAGATCAGTCAAAGAATTATCCTGACCTAAGTTTAACCCCCAGAAGAAAAAATATGCTATGGCTAATTAAATTGAAATTCTTAAGCTTGTATCAGATGACTACTTATCAGCAACAAATGACAGAAACTCTGTCGAGAGAGAGAGAGAGAGGGAGAGAGAGAGAGAGAGAGAACAACAGAAAGAGAGAGCGATAAACAGAGAGAGAAAGAGAATATCTGTTAGGCTCTCTTCCTTTCCTTTCCTTATCAAAGCAGTCCAATCAAACACACAGCCATCTTGTTTGTGAAGTCAGTGATAGGGGCCAGTGAAGACACATCTCAAACATCTGTCATACAGGAATTTTCTTGAGAGGTAATTAAATCCTGATTAATTGGGGACATTTCCAAGTTGGAATGCTAAGATTGGTTGTGCAAAAACAAAAACCCAAAAGTGCTACACCTCTTCTACTAAAGCCAGTTCTTAGTTAAATGGATTAACTCATAAAAGAGAAAAATAGTTGGCTGTTTTTTTTTTTTTTTTTATCTAGCAGCCATAATGGCTGGCTTCTCTTATTTTCTAAGCATACCCATCTTCTAGACCAGCTAGCCAATCCCTGTTTTGAACAAACAAAAACAGAGTTCACCTGTGGCTTATACTGCAATTATGCTGGGTGAACTTTTGTCAAAATTTCTCAGAGAGAGTGCTTAATTTTAATTTGTCATCATCAACAGTTTGAACAAGGTCAGCATACTCAAATTCTCAGTTATGATGACTTGTGATTTTCTGCCAGCACAATGATTGATGGTTTTGAACAGGCTTGGTCAGTCACAAGGTTTGGGTCAAGCTAGCATGTTCCAAAGGTGTTGCACACTGGGATTGCCTACCAAGTCCAATAACATCAAGAAGTCACCTTCTTGACAAATCAAAAATTGTCTTATATATTTACCCTGCTGTTGGATTTTTATCCAAACTTAAATCAAGCCCCATATTTTGTCGGTAACATTTATATTATTTCCTGACCACTGGCAATCCCTTCCTTCAATTCATTTCTCTTATACATATGTGAGTTCTGTTCTATCTGTGATCCTTTCTTTCTTTCCTGAAAACTGAAAATCCATTTCTCCAATGCATTTTCATTATACATACAAGAATTCTGATAATTCTCGAAGTCTTGCATTAATTCCTGTAGTAGTTACAGACACAAAGTGGAATTGGCATGGAGAGTTCAAATTGTTGCCAAAGTCGTAGCACTCACTTTTGCACAGATATCTTAGGGAAAAGGAGGATTTAATTTCTTTCATATTCATCTCGAGGTTGAATAGAAAGTTAGACTATGATCCCTAGCCTTGGTTGGTAACCAGTCTACAGGAATAATTCTGAATCACAAAAAAAATCATATGGTGTGGGGTTGGCAATTCCTTCTCATAAAGAGCATACTTGCCATGGTAACAACAGCCGCTACACTAGTGTGGTGAGGCAGTGGCCCTATACCCCATATTGAGTGAGATTGCCTTATCTGTCTTCCATATAATTCTAGTTTTATTTATTATCAGTGCACAACATTATGTGCTGCAATTTAATCTTTTCAGTCATAAAGTGTAAGATTTAGTAGTGAAATCTTTAGGAATAATGATGGATCTGTTTCCAATCAGAAGAAGTTGTGCCGTTGGTGACATAGGTCAGTTTTTAAAGCCAGCTAAAGGGTTTTGAATGCTGATTTTTAAGGCAGGATCTCTCTATGCAATGAATTGGCATCATACTTTGGTTATCCACATAGGGGATACCTAAAATATACCCAGGCCTGTTTGCAAGGTAGTGGGTAGTGATGTTAGTGCCCCGCTCCACTCAGAAAATCATATTTGTCCTCCCCACTGTCAAAATGATTTAAAATTCTTACTTGCTGCCCACAAGCCCCTGACTTAAAACCTGGCACCAGGCTTGAATATACCTAACACATATTTGTAATATTATCTTACATGCTTCTAAAATCCATCAAAACAAGTATAATAGACATTTCCATGAATAATTTATATTGAAAACTCTTGATAGATTATTAAAGCAACCTTACCCCACTTTAACTTTGTTACTTTTTCTATGATTTTGTTTTAAATTGTGCAGCAGACACCTCACTTTCAACAAGGTGAAATCCAAGCATTTAATTTATTTTTCTCCAATGTGTTAAGTAGTACTTCTAGTCTGGGGCTACTTGCAATGCCAGCCACTGTCAAGCAGGGAATTGATATTACAGGGGTCAGACTTTTAACATCAATCATGTTCAGAAAAAGAAAAAAAAAATGGGTAAGTACTAAAATGTCATCCATTTCCTTGGTTGGGGCACCTTATTTCTCATTTGCATTTTGATGACAGTTTATCTAGCTGTCTATAAAACATTTTTTTTTTTTAAATTCAATCCTGCTTTGATGAATAAATTTCTTTTCAGCTTATATAAATGATAAACGTAAAAAGTTCCAAGCGCCATCTCCTCCAAAATATTATGGAAATCTTGTAAAATAACTTTTCTGTTATTTACATTATTCCAACTAATATTTTTTATTATTGCTGTTATTATCATGTTTCGGCCATTGGGCTCTCTGGCCTTCTTCAGGTAGTATAGGTTAGGCTGGCTAGTATGGATTTAGACTCAGAGAAAATGAGATAATATTAAACTGACAGTTCTTGAATTAAATAAGGTACTCTCAAAATAAATAAATAAAAAATAAACATCCAAAAAAAAAAAAAAAAAAAAAAAAACAAAAAAAAACAAAGTTTGAAAAATCCATGATGATCAAATTTGAAAATTTGCAAATTGATCTTAAAGGAAAAGCTACTATAGCTTTCATTAGGATTTGAAAAATAAGGGATCAATGAATTGAAAATTTTTAAATTCATTTTTAAGAAAAAAAAATATCTAAATAGAAAATAGCATGTAATTACAGATTTTCCAATAAGGAAAAAATGAGATTACAGTCAATTCTAAAAAATATTGAAAAATTAATGATGATCAATTACTTACACTATTTACCTGTGAACTATTGATCTCATCATTGTTTTTATCACAATGTTCCAGCCATTACGCTGTCTGACCTTCATGTTGATCCAGATGACCTACAGGGTATTCGGAAATTGAACCCTTTATTTAATATGCAGGGTAGCTTGTTCTTGATAAATGTAAAAGTTACAAATACTATCTCTTGCAAAATGTTATGAAAAGTTTATTAAATAACTTTTCTGTTTACATTATTTCAACTAATATTTTTATCCTTGCTGTTATTATCATGTTTCAGCCATTGTACTTTTTAGCCTTCATCACGTAGTACAAATTTACACTCAGTGGAAACAGGATTAACATTTTCACAAGAACAGATACTTCTGAGTGGGTGCTTCTCCAATCACTGAAATGTTAACCTTTTGAAGTGTATCTATCCTATACATCCTCATAATTTTTACTTCTTATCTCTTCTTATTTTCATGTAACAACCTCATTCAATAACCATCTAACTTGAGTGGCTCTTGGACCATGTATTGGGTAAGCAATTATTAAAAAAACAACTTTGTAAGTCTGTCAGTTTCATTCTCTGCACTGTTCTTTACTTGATCTGCCATTTCAATGTCCAGATTGTTGAAAAATTTCTTGAAGAATTTCCTGACTAAAACATCAAATTTTTCTTTTCAGACAGAATTTGCAATTTAGTTGAAAGGTGACATAATGTGAAAAAAAAAAAAACAAAAAACAAAAAAACAAAAAAAAACAAGAAAAGTTGTTTCATGAATGAATAATGCCAGAAGTTTCTATGAATAAATTATTTGGATTAAAAAAAGTACACTCAAAACTCTGCCATTGAACAAACACAGAGAAATCTGCTTATTATAATAATTTATATATTAAACAGATTTTACTATCAAAATTCAGTCAGCTAAGTGCCATGCATGATACATGCTTGGGTGCTCATGTTTCTTTTAATTCATGTCTGACCAAGAAGAAGATTTCCCTGCATAGGTTGCCATTTCTTTCTGCATTAGACTGGTTGCCAACCAAGGCTGTAATCTATCTTGCTATTCAACCCATAGCTGGGAGGAGAAAAGATGAATTCATCCCCTTCCTGAGGGTATTTGTGCATGTAGGCATACAAAAGGTGATTATCTCCCTTTGGTTGAGATAATGTCATCTTGGTCACATGACAGCCGCTCAGTGATGTCACTTCATAAAGTTACAAAAGTGACGAGACCATCAGTCAGCTCCCAGGAGACTAACTACTGAACTGTCTCAGAGATATCTGATCATTATAAAGAGTGATACTTGATCACCCATTGGGTTTCTTTGAAAAGCAGTACATGGTACAAAATGACAAGATAGCAATATTATCAGTTTTATTATTAATTACACATTTTAATTTGCATTTGAAGACAGTAAAAGAAGGTTTATTTTTCCACTGGGTTTCATAGTTAACACATTTGTGTGAAAATATGAGGTAAGAGCTTAAAACAGATGTAGTCTTTTTCAAAATCAGTATATTTTCTCTAAATTTTTAGTTATTTTCTGAGAAAAATGAATGAAAAGACCCCAAAACTACTTAATGCAAATATATCCTGATTTAAAGTTTGAAAATAAATTATTTTATGTTATATATATATATATATATATATACATATATATATATATATATATATATATATATATATTTTAATTAATTCATCGAGTCTGATAGAAACTTCAACAGAATGCAGAAAGCACTAGACGGCCCGTTTCATCCTATATTTGGGACTCATCAGCAGTGCATCCACTACGAGAATTGAAACCCTGACAGTTAGGGTTGTCAAGCGAACATCATACCAACTGTTCTAATGGGCCTCATTGACGAAGAGATTGCAAAATCAGACTCAATATAGCACCACTCACTCACATAATTACTATCTATCTATCTATATATATATATATATATATATATATATATATATATATATATATATATATATATATATATATATATCCTTTACTTCATTCCATTAAAAGTGAAATTTCTTCCATAAAATGTATTTTGAATATACAAAATTAATAATTAAAGATGGTAGAAAAAAGTTTATTGTTCCAATGGGATTCATAGTTAATACATTGCATGAAAATTTGGAGTAATAGCATAAAACAGGTATAGATTTGTCTATCAACCAGTTCACACTCCTAACCAGTCTTTGAACGGGATTAGATGTTTATCCTTTGTTTCCTGTTTAGGGTTGGGTTTCCACTCCTATCTAAAGTTTTCTAATTCTCTTTCATTTCCAGCAGCCCCTTGGATTTTAGTAGCATCATTGCTTTGCTTGGGGTGAATTAATAAAAAAAAAAAAAATATTGTGACTGCTAGGAAGCATTAATTGGATTATTTAAAATGTAAACTTTTCTCAATGATCAAACATTTATCATAACCATTTTACAAAACTGATTAAATTTCCCTTATTTTTTTTAATCATTTCACCCCAAGCAAGGTGATAATGTCACTGAGATGCAAGGGGTTACTGTAAGTGAAAGAGAACGTGAAGAATTCAGTAAGAAAAAAAGTAACAATATATATATAAAAAAATTCAATGTATAAAATTTTAATCTAATTTGATTCTGATATTGAACAGGAGTGGCTCAGTAGTAAAGGTATTGAACCTTCATAATGCTGAACAGCAAATTTATGAGAACTAGAAAAATAAAACAAATTTTGTAATTAAAATAAAGTTAAAAAAATTAAGTAATTATTTTTTTTTAAATTACTGTAGTCATGCTCTTATTTTCAGGGGAAAGATTTTAAGCTCCACAACTGATGCCTGAAACGGCAAATATAAATGTTGTGTTGGAAACCTACCACCCCTCTTGAAGATGAACTTGTCTGCGTCTGTGAACAAAGACTTTAAATAGTAGCATGTCAGTTGACATGGGGAAGACAGATAGACAGAGAAGTTCTTAGCCGAGCTAGTTATTGGCTACTCAGGCGATTTCTGTACCTTTTTACCAACCTATTAAAACCCTTTTTATTGTTACGTGTTATTTGGCGTTTGTCTCTACTAACCCCAAATCAACATCATAACAATAACTAAACACTATTATATACTTTCTTTTCCTCCTATGACATATCAGCCTATGTTAAATTTTAATTTATAAATAAGGCACAAAAAGAGATTGACAAAGATAACTAATAATAAAATAAAAAAAATTATCATAATATATTGTCAAACATTTATGACAGATATAAGATATATTTTTGGTGTAGATTTTAGCAACCTCAGCTTTTTTTTTTTCCTTCCTTATGAACTGAAGGGGGTAACTTTAAGGATTCTTTTTAGACTGCTACTCTTGTACATTGGGCTCGTTATTAATTTTCATTTCAATTTCTAGCATTTACCATTGGTAACTAAAACCCTGCTGAAACAGAGAGTTATAACAAAGGATATAGGTAAATAATTACTTTATATTTCATCTTAAGTAATATTTAACCTCTTGTAAGATCAAAAAAGATCTGGTAAAGCTATCTGGTGGAAAAAAAAATACTTTTCCTCATTTTGACTGTACTATTCCTCTCAGGCATGTCAAACCTTGATCCTTAAAGCTTTTTAAATTTACTTCCACTCAGCTATTGCCTAAAGACCTCCCTCATTTCATGTTTATTTTAGCCAAGCTATTTTCCAGATTTGTCGGAAAACATTTTCTGAGCAATTTACTTAAGCCTAGAATATCCAAGTCCAGTGTTTATTGGCTTTGAAAATATCTCCCATAAATGAAAATTGATATCGTGGATTTTTGCTATATGGAGAAAGTGTTAAAATTAAAGTGACAGTCCCCAAATTGAAGAAGGTACTTTTAAAAGAAAGAAGTGAAACATTTATGGCTATCAGATTTGATGTTTGTGTAGATTTATCTAAAAGGAAAAGACACAGTACGTTTATAGCTAACTTTAAATGGTGTCCATTGAATTCTAAAAAAAAGTAAGGGATCAATGAATTCAGGATTTTTAAATTCATTCTTAAGATATCTATAATAAATAAATAAATAATGACATGATATTGTGGATTTTTGCTATATGAAGAAAATCAGATAAAATTGACAGTTCCCATATTGAATGAAGTACTCTTAAAAAATAAATTAATCTTAAAGGATCAATGAAAAAAGGATTTTTAAATTCATTTTTAAGAAAAATATATCTGAGAAATAAAGAATGACATGAGTTGCGGATGTTTGCAATATGGGAAAAAAAAAAGAAAAAAGAGATTAAAATTGCATAAGGTACTCTTAAAAAAATTGAAAAGTTAATGGTGATTAATTATTTACACTATTTACCTGTGGCCAATTGTTCTCATCTTTGGTATTGTTATCACAATGTTTCGGTCACTGTGTTCTCTGTCTTCATCAGGTGTATCTTGATCAATGTAATGTCTAGGAGAATTCTAGAATTATACCCTATATTTAATATACAGGATAGCTTCCTCTTATTTCACTGAACATGTATTGGGATATTTCCAAGTACACACTACTCGGCTACTGCTCACCCCTTTCTGCTGAGTCCAAGTACACACTACTGGCTACTACTCCCCCCTTTCTGCTGAGTCAAGAAGTACACACTACTCGGCTACTGCTCACCCCTTTCTGCTGAGTCCAAGTACACACTACTCGGCTACTGCTCACCCCTTTCTGCTGAGTCCAAGTACACACTACTCGGCTACTGCTCACCCCTTTCTGCTGAGTCCAAGTACACACTACTCGGCTACTGCTCACCCCTTTCTGCCGAGTCCAAGTACACACTGCTACGGCTACTGCTCACCCCTTTCTGCGAGTCCAAGTACACACTACTCGGCTACTCTCACCCTTTCTGCGAGTCCAAGTACACACTACTCGGCTACTGCTCACCCCTTTCTGCTGAGTCCAAATACACACTACTCAGTTCAGGATGTAGTTTATCATCATATCCAGGGTGGGATCAGATTTCATTGACATAGTTTTGTAAAGAGGACTTTTGCTGAGAGTCAAATGTATTGCTTGTAATATTTTCTTTTTCAAAAATGTATTGCTGGTATTTAACTATAAAAATCTATTTTTATACTTTCATAGTGTTTTGACTCAAGTTTGTGGGGTTAACTATTTGCCCATAGCTGGGACCCTAACAGGTGCTACCACCCTCGGTCAGGATAGACCTGGGAACATCAGCAATTAAGAGGTGGTTCCATGCTCCTCAAAACCTCCTGATCAGAGGTCTTGCTGCTGAAAGAAAGCCAGTTGATAATTCCACTAAAATTTGATTGATGGATTTGTTCTGTATGGTTTATCAACCCTTCTCAACTTATTTAAAGCCAGAAAATATTTTTTAGATTGCAATTTTGTGGGAG